ATGTATTTGCATTTACAAACTCAGAGCTGCCTGACACAGTAAGAGAGAAGGGGCTGATGCTAAAAGGAGAGACAAAGTGTAACAGAAGACAAACTTAAGATTTAGTAGCTACCAGAGGAAAAAAAGTCTGAAGCAGCCCTGATAAACAAGATGGATCCTTTCCAAGTTCTTGAGCCCTTTTCCTTACTATCCTTTTGTGCTGATTTACATAAGGAAAAGAATCATCTAAACAACAACAACACCACAATCCCCATTTGAAGCACAATGTGCTTTGGACACCAGGCTCCATTCATTCATCATCAGCCAAGGGTTTGATTTACTCTGCTTAGAACAATTCCTAAATCTTCCACAAATGAAAACAGCTGAGTCAATAATTTTAAAGCAATAAACTGGCTGTATATAAGGTTTTAACTCTCTCTCCTTTGCTGCCTTCCAACTTTAAGAGTTCAAATTTTGAAATGTTTATTTTAAAACAAATAATGCAATACTAATATTATGCTGCTGCCAAAAGAATGATCTGAAGTACAGTGAAAAAAAATACACGAGTTGAAGTTTTAAAGGAACTTACCAAAAAGAATGGAAATTCTGAGCCTTTAAACTTTAGCAGTAACTACATGGCTCTGTTAGGTATTAATCATTGTTTGACTGGGCTTTGTTTTTTGTAACGTGCCCTATTGGTTAGGTCCTTAAAATTTATACACTGGTGAATGAAATACAATTTCCAAGCATAACTAGATGCTTAATATCTTCAGTATCTGTTCTAAGCAGAACTGTGGAGCCCCAGAGTCACACATTTCCAAACACAAAATGCAGCACTGCCTTGTACCTGCCTGCTCAAACAGTGCAAACACACACAGTGGCTGCCAGCAAACACAAAGGAACCCCCATACTAAAAAAACTTCACGAAAAAATCTGGAAATGCCATGAAATTTTGCTGTGCTTTCAGAATATCTACTATGATAAAATTAACAAATCTCTTCTGTGGAGAATTTCTAAGAAGTTATTTCTAAAAGGGGCACATTTTCAATGACAACCTCAAAACCCCTTGAAGATTTTTAGATTGCCTTTCCTAAAAGGAATCAGGTTCATGGCAATGTCTGAGAAGCATAATTCTGTGACTCAATATATCACGTATCTGACGAACAAAACCCATTATTATTCCTGGATCCGAGTCAATACAATTGAAAGTAATCCTGTTATTTCAGCAGAGGCAGAGGGACTTGCCGGAAAAGCTCTTGTTTATATAGGGAGAAGTAACTTACTTAAATACAGAAATATACTGAAATCCATGGCAACATTTCTCCCATAGAAAGAGGGTTTTCTCTGCATCAGTATTACTTCTAATGCCATGGACCCGGTTTTAAGCTAAAAAAATCTACAAAAATCCTCACTTAGCCTGTGCAGACATAGGGGAACATAGCTGGGTTTATTGATTTCAGCTGCTAAGGAAAAGCTCAACAGAAATTGAAGTCCATGTAACATCAATAACAGAGCTCCCTGATCAGCTGGTATCATGGTCAGAGCATCTTTAGTCTCAGTATTGTAATTTACTTCCTCAAAGAACCCAGTCTTTCTCTTCCTGTTACAGTATGAGGGCACTGCTGACCTTTACCACTTGACCATATTATTTTAATAAATATTTGGAATAAAAGTCAGTGCTGATACTACATTTTCCATACAAAAGGAATCCTACATTCCCATTTACCTGTAACAGCTTCATTACATTCAGCTGTATCACCCTACACTGCCCAAGGAGAACGAGCCTTTGTCACCTCTGGAAGAACAGATTCCAATTTGTGTTGTGGGTTTCCAAATTTTGCATCCTGCAGTACATGAGCCACAGCAGTACAACAAAGAACAAATAGTTTGTTGCACAGAAAACTAAAAAATGCCAAATATATACCAGATTCCCCACATTCTGATCCATGCAACTCTGTATTTGTGATTCCAATATTTCTCAGGAGGATAACACAGTCTGTGTTACAGCAGTTAAAAACAGTAGTTACTGGCTTATTTTGCTCTTTTAAATTGGAATTTTGTACCTTTAAACGCTTTTTAAAGTAATAAATCAAAAACTAATTTTGAAAGCAAGTTGGGTTTTCTTTTTTTGCACAGGGATCACTCTGGAAAAAGAAAGAAATCAGAAGCCCTATCCACAGCTCTGAGTGTTTCTGACAAGCTGACGAAGAAGCTTGTGTTGCTGTGAATAACTGCACATTTTCCTCTGCAGAAGCTATAAAACATCAGCAGGCCAGAACATACATAATGAAACTTCTACAGAAATCTGAGACTCAAAACTGGGTGGCACAGAAACATGACAGAACCAGCTGAAATGACAGTTTATTCAATCTAAAAAACATGGCATTTAATAAAGAGTTCAATAATGTATTTCAAAGCAATGGTACCTGTAGTTACAAACTCCCTTGCTGCATTTCCATGGTCTGCACCAGCAGCCCCACTCAGTACAGGCGACTCCAAACCTGCAGGGAGGGTTGGAGACCATGGTTCTGTCTGAGCTGCTCCCTGAGCCTCAGCTGCCTCCTAAGACTTCAGTTCTGCCACTACCTACATTCCTAAACCTGGGAATCCAGAACAAAATGTGTCTGATCTAAACCCCCTAGAACTATTTCCCAACTCTAATTTTAATTTGTCATTTAGGTCTTACATATTAGGCTATCATTCTGGGATACTTTGGATAAACAGCTGCTATTTTTTTAAGCTCCTTGCCCAGAACATCAGGAAATTTCTGAAACAGTATTTTCATTTCCTTCTAAGCTGATTAAAACTCCAGGTAAATATCTTGCTCAGAACCTATTCTTGTATAACAAGTTAGGCATTAAGCTGCTCAAACTTGACAAGCAATATTTTAAGACATTTAATTTTTTCAACATCAGCATTTCCATGGAAGTATATACACTCCCTACCAGGCAGATTCTCAGAAGGAACTCATCCCTGCTTATCTGAATGTCTCAGTTTACTACAAGATATTTCTGAATTTCAGATTCCAGGGCATAATATTATGCTGGATTCGGCTGTGCTATATTAGACCCTTTAATTCATTTAATGGTCTGACAGCACATGTATAGACCCAGAGCTTGAAACTTTAACACATAAGGGTAAAAGTTCAAAAGGAATACATTCAATACTAAAAAACAATGCAGAAAGCAGACTACAGAAGAATACATAGCTAGAATGTAGACTGCATTACAAAGTGTTTTGTTTTGAAAGATTAATTTAAGTTCTATGAATTTCAGGGGAAAAATGTGCTGTGTGGGAAAAAATCCCCAGCCATTCATTATTTCAGTAATTCTGCAGGGTCTTTAAAAGTTCCCAATAACTAAAATGTTATTCACTTTCTTGGACTATGAAGTACCTATTATACACCTTGAAAACAGCAAAATATGGACTTGTACTATGGCTTCATCCTCAACCATATGCCACAAAGTCTCTTTCCCTCAATCTGCAAATAGTAAATGCAAAAGTATTGAAAAATAAGTTAGGAGATGAAAAGAGGTTTTAAACCTCAAACAATTAATTCAGTTCATCCTTGTCAAGTTGGAAACCACACACAGACCAGTATCCCATGATGCATGTGAACATTTAGCCTAATGAACTACCAAATGTGAGCACTGTCCAAATGATTACTATTTAAAATGTCTGGAATTACGGAAGAAAAACACACAATCAGCTCTGGAGAAAAGTGATACTTTTTCCTAACATTTATTTTTTCCTTTTAACAGAAGTTACAGTTTCAGCAGAGAAATATCAACAAAACTATTTAGATTTGTTTTTGATAAAAATATTTACTAGTAGACACAGAAATAGCTATTAGTAGAAACTAAGAGAAGTAAGTATTTTAAAATATATTTCCTGAAACTTATGTGCTCCCTCCATTTATGCAGGGTAAGAAAGGGTTTTTAGTTCATGTTAAATGTGTTTTCTTCCCCTTCTGGAAGCAGGGCTTGCAATACAACCATCAGACAAACAAAAACTTACCAAATATTTAAGGAGAATTCCTAGCTCTTAACTCCTGATTGCATGTACCTTATGGTTTGAAACTTGTAACCACTGCTGTAAGTGAAGCCAAGAAACAAAGACTTGACAGGTTTCCTGAGGCTGAGCAGACACCATTTGTTGCCGTAATATTAATGCCAGTAACAGAACTGGGAAAAATGACCTGACCCAAAAATCACCTTATCATTCGTAATGTGAATGCAAAGGAAGCAGCACAGCTCTGGTTCTCCTTTGGGATCACTGTGACAGGACAGCCAAATGCACTTAAACATAGCAGGAACAGCAGGATCATTAACTTGCCCTGCTCTTACTTTTCTCTTCTTATTTCTCTTTTTAATTATCCAAAGGCTTGCAAAAGGAGTCTGGAAAGGAAAACCAGATCAACAGCTGAGATAAGAAGAGTGATCTGCTTCAAAAAGCAAACGAACTATTAAAAAAAGAAAGCTTTTTCCCATATTTAAATGCTACCTTTGTTTATCATCTCAAATATTTAAAGCTAAAAATCAGGTCTCAAAAAACATTCCTGGATCTTTATCACTGCACTTTAATTCTGCAGAGTTAAAAGACATTCCTAGTTTTCTTTGAATAATCAATGAAACATTTCAGTATGGTATTTATAACGACAACACACCTGATACTCCAGCATTATTTGGAAAAAGGTGTTCTCAAAGACACAAAAATAGTGTGACAATTCTAAGTGTTCATCTCAAGGCAACTAAATAGGGACATATATGCAGAGCAAACAGTGCTCTAAGCTTTTCTTACAAATTCAAAGTCACTTGAAAAAGTAATTTTCAATGTTTGCAACAGGATCTAATCTCCTGCCTTCTGCCTAACACTCTTGTCCAAAAATAATTTTAAAGATGCATTTTTCAAGTCTACTAAAACTGTGTATATATAAACTTGAAAAATGGGTGTATGTATGAATCAGTATGTATTATACTATTTAACAAATTATATCTATATCTCTCTATATATAAAGCTAAAGGAGGACCAGAAAAGCTTATATAATCCAAATTCCAACATCTATATAAATAATTTCATCTCCCTACTTCCCTTCCAGGAAAGTATTCTGAAAGCACTCCATGTTCTTTAACCTCGTGCAGGTAATTGCAGTGAGCAGAGATCTGAGAAGTCCAACTGATAATGGAGTATAACACAGAATCTAAGCACAACATTGTTTCTGAAAACTCAGCCATTTCAACAATTCCTTTACTAAATCCCCCACCTAAATTTTAGTTTGCTGCTCAAAACAGCCAGCCAATCTCATGGAATCTAACTCCAAGCAAGAGATTCCAAAGGCTTGGCTACATACATGCAAGCATGGCAAATCCATCAGTTTAGGCAGTTCAAAAGTCCAGGAGCCTTGGCTGTGCCTCTGATTTAATGACTTTATCTGTTCAACAGGCTCCTGACAGCTGTCACACTTGCTTTAAAATGAAGCTATTGAAGTGGACTTTGGGTGTCCTGCTGTTCCTGCTGCTGTCTATCGGGCGCTGTATGGAGCAATCCACGCCGAGTAAGACGCCCCAGCTGAGGCAGCCTCGTTCAGCAGACGGGGGAGGAGAAGGGAAGAAATGTGGCTACACCTTCCTGGTCCCAGAACAAAAAATCACAGGGCCAATCTGCGTGAACACCAACGGCCCGGGCACTGGGAACAGGAAAGATGAAGTCACCAGGATGGACATCGAGAACCTGAAGGATGTGCTGTCCAAGCAGAAGCGGGAGATTGACATTCTGCAGTTGGTGGTGGATGTGGATGGGAACATCGTGAACGAAGTCAAGCTGCTGAGGAAAGAAAGTCGGAACATGAACTCGCGCGTGACCCAACTGTACATGCAACTCCTGCACGAGATAATTCGCAAGCGCGACAACTCGCTTGAGCTTTCCCAGCTGGAAAACAAAGTCCTTAATGTTACAACGGAAATGCTGAAGATGGCAACAAAATACAAGGAGCTGGAGGTAAAATACGCGGCGCTAACCGACCTGGTAAACAACCAGTCCGTGACTATCTCGCTGCTGGAGGAGCAGTGCCTGAGGATCTTCTCGCGCCAGGACCCGCACGGGTCGCCGCCCCTGGTGCAGGTGGTGCCGCAGCACATCCCCAACAGCCAGCCCTACACGCCCGGCCTGCTGGGAGGCAACGAGATCCAGAGGGACCCAGGCTACCCCCGGGACAGAGATGTACGGCCACCACCCGACCCCGCCACTTCTCCCACAAAGAGTCCCTTCAGAGCACCACCTCCGGCTTTGATTAACGAGGGTGAGTCACTATTGATCTAACCTGAGATGTCTCCACTTCTGAGGGAAACTGTCCTGACCATAGAAAGAGCAGGAAGAATTGAAAGTACCTGGTACACTATTGCTCCTGATATTCTCTCCCCATTCAACCTCCTAGGGAAAGCTTTTAGTTTGCCACATGGGCTAAATCTCCCCAAGATGAATTTGTTGAAATGTCTAATACTCAGAAATTCAGTCTGAACAATACTGACCTTTAAGTCACAAAGTGTTGGGGGTTCTCTCTGCAGTTGGATTTGAGTTACAAAAATATGAAAATTCAGTATTAGCATAAACTTTCTAATATTTATCCATTTCTTTGATGATGCCTGCTAGGTACATGTTACAGTAGCTGGCAAGAGTGAATAAGAGGAGCTAATTAATCATAAACAACTTAGGTAATTTCAAGTTTTTGTCCTTAATACTTACATTTGTCAAAAGAAAACTCTACTAGAAGGATTTTCATCCTTCTGTATACTGACCTGCTTTAAAATGAACATCACAGTCATGCAATGAGTCTCTTAGTGTTTAGCTGAAATATTCAAGAGTATTAAGTTTGAAAGGATAATTGAATCAAGGCTGGATCCAATTAGAGACAACCAGCATTGAAAATTTAAAATTAGTAACTACATCTCCAGAAACCTATCATCAGTATGAGATGGCAAATTAAACTAAAACCATAAATATTATGAAAATACATTCACGAGACTGTATCCCACCTTCACATGTTATACTCTTTAGGTCATTAGATAAATTCATGTATCACTAAGAATCAAAATTAGTGATAAAACAATTAGCTACCTCTGAGCTGCCCTGAACTCTATCATGTTTCTTACTTTATTGAAATGTTGACAGAATTGCTATTGAAAAGAAATTCAAGGACTCAGAAAAACAAGTTTTTCTCAGCTATCCCTTTGAGAGCTTGCTCTTGGCTCCTGTTTTGCACAGCAAAAGGTTTTGGTGGGGGGTTTTGGGTTTAGGTGGCTGTTTTGGTTTTGTTTCTTTCAAATTCCCTTCAGTCATACCTGAAAGTTCGACTTGGTTCCTAAGATGAAGCCAAACATTCATTTGTGACTGTTCTGCAAGAGTACACCCAACTAGCTGCTGATGTGAAGAAGAACTATTTTTATTCAAGGTCTGCAAAAAATTCAGGCATGAGCCCAAGCAAAATGCCAGATGTCATGCAAATTTCAGTGGCACATCATGACAGAAAGGAAACAGTTCATATCAAAGAATTGCGCTGATGTCTGGTCAGACAGCACAAGTATAATTCTAAAAAAAACCCACAACTTCCCAGCAAACCCTTGCTTCCAAGTTCTGTTCTAAATGCATCTTTTTCTCAATACACGCCTGCTGCACATACTAAGTGAGGCAATAGCACTAAGTATTATCCTCTAAATTACCTACCCCCATATTCACTGACCCCTCTACCCCTGAAAGTTCAGACTTTGAATCCATTTTTGGAAGAGAACACAAAGAAATTTTAGGAAGCTTTATTTAACATTATTCGCCTTCCTTAAATACTAGATTCTTGAGTTGGAAGTTTAAATGTTTCTTGCAGTGCTTGGGAAAAGGATGGTTGAGAATTGCTACAGCTGGTAGAGGATCAGGAGTCACATCCAAAACTTGGACATCCAACACAATGCCTATCCCTGATTTTTAAAATTAAGGTAAACAGATTTCATGGTGCACAGAATCAAAATTATGTCAAACAAGAAACATCTTTATGGTTACAAGTTAAAGATCTTTTATGTATAAAGATGTCAAAGAAGATCCATGAAAACCAGACAGTCCCAATTAGAAATTGGCCTGCTAAAGACTGATAAATTAACCTGGACCTCCTCATAAATACTTGGATGCAGCAGATGGGTCAGAAAGGTCAATGTGCATCTGAATATTGTGAGTGGGAGAAAAACGCAAAATATATGGGGAACAAAAGGATGAAGTTCTGTTTTCTGAGTATGGTGGTTGTTTTATACAAAAATTGCTCTTAAAATTGAGGAAGGTTAATGCACCTGTGAATTGTAGTTGTCACAATTACCCTTAATATTTGGAATAATAACCAGTGACCACCAAAATTACTGCCACTGTTTCTGCAAAAAGTAGTTTCAAGTTAGTTAAGTACTTAAAAATTAGACACACCCTGCCCCGTATAATGATTTCTAATACCTCTGAGTTAACAATATACCTTCTTTTTTTCACTATATGTCCAAATTTATTTTGGACTTTTCCTCTACTAATGTCCCCAAAAAGCCTCTCTACAAAGCTTGCACAAGCACAACTTCTGTATCATCTGCTCAAGATAAAAATCTGGCATCTCAAAATGGGATTCAGCCATCAAGTTATCAAGCTTTCAACTTAAAATATTTAATCTCTTTCCTTCTGAACTTCACTTAATTTAGCACAGAATATGATCTGCACTAAATCATACATGTAAGCCACAATTTTGGAAGTAAAATATTTAACAGATCATCTTCTTAGAGTATTTCTGACTTATCACTGTCTCAGTGATTTAGTGTACATAGACTCTTACAAAAGACTAGATGTGCATGAGATCCTTATTCCCTACATAAACTACAAAACCTGCAAGATTTTACACAAAAAAATCATGCTTTTTGCATCAGTCAGACCTCTACCCACACCAGCACTGTGAAGAATCTCTCAGTTCCACAAACCTGAACAAGATCAGTTCTTATAATGTGAACTTGAAATAATTACAGAATTTACTTCAGTAAAAAGATTCAAGGGCTATACACCAGAAATTATGGGATATGTTGGATTTCCTTACATTCAGAGCAGAAATCTCTTACCTCTACACAACATTAATTTATGTTAATACATGCAGACAAAGCTCAACATCAAAGCAGATCAGTTGCATGCTGTGAACTTAAAGCCAGTTGAAGTCCAAAGTGATGCAAGTATTACATGAACAGACTGGTACAATTCTGTCTGCCTTAAAAACTACTTAAAATGACCCCAAACATCTGTTTGGGTCTCTCATGGAAAAATGAGTGCTCAAGTCCTCCTCCAATAATCATAATGTGGGATAATACCAGATAACAGCAGATCTAATTAAGCTATTCTTAATCTTCACTTAACATTACAAAATACAAGGCTTATTTGTTTATACTTTTCCTAAAGCAGTAACGATTTCACAAAAATACTTCTGGAACAACGTCCCAGTTCAGTTATAAAGCACCCAAATTAACTTCAGACAGTTCAAGGAATGGGAATGAGACCCAGCCTAGTCCAGGAAATTCTCTCTCCCCTGGACAAACTCCACAATATTCACAATCTACCTGGGAATTTTAATAGTGTACAAGAGGGGAAATAAGCACATGTATATCAAAGCTACAGGATGTATTTCCTAAGGTGCCACTGCCTGCACTGGAAGAATGAAAAAGCCATGCCAATCCACACAGTGTAGTAATACTTACAGCAATGGCTCAGTGTCTGTGACTTAGAGTCCCAAGTTCTAAGTACTCCTCATTAGATACACAAGCTTCATGCTAATTATGCTTTATGGACTTATTGCTAATTACATACTTGTCCAACTGGCAACTACTACCCAAAAATCTAAGAAAAGTGCGATTTCTCAGCCTGCTTTTGTCACACAAGCTTAATCAGCAGTGAAGGTCCCTTTCCCTCAGCCTCTACTTTTGATTAATGAATAACCTCAACAAATGTCTTCCATGCTGTCTTGCATATGAGCTGTTTCTGTGACTGATGGGTTGTCTCTGAATTTCCAAGGAGATTTGAGAAAATAAACCCTCGGGAAGGAGAGGAAAGCTGTAGTTGATTTGTTTTCAGATGTGCTGAGTTTTCAAATACACTTAGGGCATCCACTACTAACTAGTCATCAGAAATCACTTTGCTTTTCATTAGTAAATTACCAGTTTCTTAAAAGCAACTGAAATAATGACACGCAAACAATTTTTTTTTTTAAAGCAGAAAATAAAAAAATTACCAAAAATTGAAAGGCAAACTAGGCAAGGTTTTCAGAGACATGTAAGCGGCATCCTTCTCAGAGAATTACCAGATGGTCTTCTCTAAGTATTATCTGTAAAACCACTATTCACATGGACTAAAATAGAGCTTTCAAGCAGTACTCAAAACAGCAACAGCAATTTTGTGCAACCACAGCCCTGAGAACAAATATGTGAGTCCTTTCAGCTGCTCAAAAATCCTTCTCCATTGCTTGCTTATTTCCTTCATCATTATCCATCTACACATCTCACACCAGGATGACACATGAAACTTTAAAAGATTCCTATCCACAGTTAACAGCCTAATCCTCAAACTGGCTAAGTACTAATAATAGCAGAAAATTATGCAGTGTAAGAATTCTCTCTGACTAAATTCCATGTCTGTAGACTCTGGCAGTCAATATTTCTTACAGCAGTTCTCAAACTACTTATATATTCAGAAATAGGGAGAGTTAGTTGGGTATCCTGGGTCTGTTTTGGTTTTCACTTCCACCATTTTCAAACTGGTGCGCCAGAAAATGAAGGAAATTGATGTCTGCCTTTTGTAAAAAGAAGAAAATAATTAATGGAAAACAAATCATAATGTTTTCTTCAGTATCAAAAGCCAGAGTATAAATCTTTCCCACAGCAGATAAAAAAGTCAGGTGTTGGTAACCAAAGTCTATAATTTGTTTAGCAAAACGAAATTTTTCTTCAAAAATATATCAAGACAGGATATTGACATTTATTTATATATACAATTAATCTCAGTAACTTTTTGCACTGTTTTCCATGGTAGGTTTATACCTTGATTGAATAACTGACTTTCCATTACTAAATATTCCTGGACAATGGGCACTGCACAGCCAAGCTTGAAGGCTTACAGTATTTCTTTTCCAAAAGGTCCATTCAAAGACTGCCAACAAGCCAGGGAAGCTGGGCATGCCAACAGTGGCATTTACATGATCAAACCCAAAAACAGCAACGAGCCAATGCAACTCTGGTGTGAGAACAGCCTGGACCCAGGAGGATGGGCAGTTATTCAGAAGAGGACAGATGGATCTGTCAACTTTTTCAGGAACTGGGACAGTTACAAGGTAAACTCTAGAATGCAGAAAATCAGTGGGCAAAGAAAGATAACTGAAAAGAGTGATCATCCCTCAGAGGCAAACATATTTCAGTGGGAATGTGCTATTTCCCTGAATGCACAGTTAACTTTGTATGAACCAACCTGGCTGAAACACCCTGGGTTTGTAATGCACAACACAACTGGGAGACATGTTATTCTAGACACTGGCTGGGAAGTAATTTATTACAAAGTTCTAACTGAACACATGATTTTTATTAACACACTGAGAACTACAGTGAGTACTTGTAAAGCTTCATTTGTCTCCCTTATGAATAAGCAAACTCAGCCAGTGAAATTATTCATTTAAACACACTAATCGATTTGCTGGATTGGGGGCTCAACTTAAAAATAGTCCTAATAATGAATTAAAGGAAGCCATTTCCGCCCATTAATTTAGGCTAGAAATCTAAAGATGTCAGGCTGATGAAAGGAAACACATTGCTGTGTGTTACTGTGATATTATGCACTAGCAGTAGAATGTCTAGGCTGAAAAGAGGAGGCTGCTTTGGAGTAATTACATGCTAAAGAGGAAACTTGAAGATCATTTGATTGGGGTAATAATAACAACATATAGCACACAAATTAACGTGAGGATTTTTGCTTCATGCATTCTTGGAATTTTCTGATTCAAATATTAATCCCTAAATCAGTAAGAATTAAAACAATTATTCAATAATCAAACAAAAAGCCCCCAAATTATTATGCAAATTATGCAATTATCTTCTCAGAGCAATAGATAGTTGGTTCTGAAGTTCTTAAGTGTTGTAAAATGTTTTAAGGCAGTTATTGAGTGCCTTATAAAGCAATAAACATTTTGAACCTAATGCAACACCAAACATTAACAACACTGGTTTACTCGAGGAAAGAAGACAGCAGATAGGAAATATCACTTCACAGCTACTGTGCTGGTAGTCTGTGATTTGAAAGAAAAGGTGTCTTTATATTTAATTTCTAATACATCCTGTAAAGAACACAGAAGAATAGCGTGATTAAATTCACAGCAAAAACAACACCGGTTGCAACAAGGAAGCAAAAAGAAGTTATTTGCCTTGAACATTGAGACTGTTGATCCATAAATACCTTTTTCAACCTGGAATTATAACATAAAATTCCATTATTCACCCATTTTTACAAATCTCCTTAGCATTGTCAAGAAATATTTTTCAGTTTCCTTATTCTCTCTCCCTTTATCTTAAAGAGAGGAGGACAGCAAGAACAGAGCTGCTTTGCCACCATTGCTGGTGCTGGCAGCATCTCGTGCAGCTTAGCATTCCCAGTGCAGCAAAATAAAGCACTTAAATGCATGGGTTGAAGTCATTGAGATGTTTAAAAGGCTTTCAGCACCCAAGTTACACTGGTTTATCACACTCCTGCTGATGAGTGTTTTAACAAACACAGAAAACTAAGCTAACAGCACCTTCCCATCTTCTTTTGCACAGAAAGGATTTGGGAACATTGATGGAGAGTACTGGCTGGGACTGGAAAACATGTACATGCTCACCAATCAGGATAATTACAGACTCTTGATTGAGCTGGAGGACTGGAGCAACAAGAAGGTTTATGCAGAGTACAGCAGCTTCCGCCTGGAGCCCGAGAGCGAATTCTACCGCCTGCGCCTGGGCACGTACCAGGGCAACGCCGGAGACTCCATGATATGGCACAATGGGAAGCAGTTCACAACACTGGACAGGGACAGGGACATGTATTCAGGTAAGCAAAGCAGTGTGCCTGTGAAAAGTGAATCATGCACGTTCCACCAGTGACACCATGTCAAAAAATACAGCATAGGACAAACAAAAAGTACATCAATTCTGATAAAATAACCCTATTGGAAGACGCTTCGAATCAATGATGATAAAAACCACGTTGGCAGGTCCCCCTTTGAGTCCCTACACTGTCAGAAATTCAGAATCTATTACCCTCACTGACAACAATCTGCAGCAGTTTTCTGTTTAGCTCATCACTTGCACGTGACTGCAATCAGAGTATCTGTCCAGGCAATCTCTGAGTAGTGCTGCTGCCACACAATCACCAGGTATAAAGCCTTTGAAGAGCATGAAGGGAACTGAAAGTGTGCAAAAGTTTAGTTGTGTACCAATACTTAAGAAAGGGGCACATCACTTGGTTTTTGTACTCCTTAAAGCTCCCTTATTCTCGTTCCCAGCAGTTTTTCCCTTGCAGTAACAGGAAGGTCGGGGAGTGCTTTTCCTCAGCTGTCAATAACCATAAAGCTGGACAAATCCTGCAAACTCTTAGACAAGCCTGTAACAGCAAAAACACAAGTTACAAGCAACTCTTTGTGGAACCGTGGCCCCGTGTGCTGCTTGGGGCTGTATCAACTCACATTGCTTCCGCTGAGTATTTCTAAACAGCACATAATCTGAGTTCCTTGGGTGTTAGCTCATGGACAAGCAGTGCTAGCAGGCTGAGAAGAGTTCTCTCCTTCATTTTCTGCTGTCACATTAAAGATCATGTCAATAACCACCCCTCCAGCAATGGCTGCTGTTACAACAGAATTTATAATTTAGCAAGAACAGCAAGATGTGACCACAACAGGCTATGAAGTCCTTCCAAGCTGCCTCTGAGAATAAGCCACAATATGAAAACATTTAGTAAATCCATTTCTACTGCCTAAAGCTGAAGCTCACCCATGTCCTTCTGTTCCACAGGAAACTGTGCTCACTTCCACAAGGGCGGCTGGTGGTACAACGCATGTGCCCACTCCAACCTCAACGGGGTCTGGTACCGAGGGGGCCACTACAGGAGCAAGTACCAGGATGGAATATTCTGGGCTGAGTACCGGGGGGGTTCCTACTCCCTGAAAGCAGTTCAGATGATGATCAGACCTATAGACTGAGGAGGAAAATCCCACAGCGCTCCCATATAAAATTCTCAGTGTTTGAGCTCCAGAAAAATAAAATATTACTTTTTAATCATTATTTTGCACAATTTGCCCCTGCAAGAAGCAGGTCTCCAATCTTCCTGTCTTCTTTCCCCTGTCATGTTCCCCTCTCCTTTATTAGGACCCTTCTCTACTGTGACAGAGAGGTTTTTTTTTAAACACACATTCACAAAATAAGGTGTTTGTGCTTGCAAAGCATATTTATCATTTTTTCAAGATCAACATGCTTGATGTAAACAGTCAAAACTGGTAAAAAATTCCAGATCTTTGACAAGATATAAGCTTTTCCAGTTCAAAAAGCTTATGCTTTTTCAGGTCAGCTCAACTCTTAAATGTAAATATGTGAAATGACATTGTCTTGCTTTAATATGAAAATTGACTAGTTATTTAACGATTTATTTAAAAATGTTGGTATTACTTTTAATGAAAAATCTGACTTCACATTACTGTTCGACATTTACTCCAAGAACCTACATATAAAATTGGAGACATTTTAGCTTTGCCAGCAGAGAAATATTTTTGAAACAAATAATTATTTCAAAATGAAGAGGCAAATTTAACACAAAATACAAAATTTCTTCGGGAATTCTCTACACTGCTAAGATCTGCAAAAGTCCTACCTTCTGTAAAAATTTAGGCAAAATGTTCCCTGCATAAGAAAATTAATTGTATGAAATTCTTTATAAACTTGAGACACCCAAATTACTTGGTATTTTTTTTACTTTCAACCTCCATATTCAAGCTTTCTAATTAAACTTTAGACTTATATGGCAAAACTGAAAGTCCTGGTTTTAAAATCGTGACTTAACACTTCCCTGCTCCAATTAGGAGTGGTGAGGGCTGACCAAGCATTCCCATGTAGTTATCAAGATAAGTCTCTGAATATTAGAAGTTTACCTCCAACACAGCTTTCTGCTCCCACATTAAAACAAAGGTTAGAAATCAGCTCTGAGAGCGTTCTCCCTGACACCCCAAACTTGGGCTGCTCTTATGACACATTTCCCTTCCACCTATACAACTTCTGATACTGTCTATACTAAATTTTACCTTCTATATATCAGATTTCCACTGGAATATGTAATTTAAGAAGATAATTAGAAAATACTTACCCAAGATTTAACAAAAGCTATACCACGCACTAATTCAAAACAAGGTATTTCCAAATTAAGATACAACCAAACATTTGCTTTAGGTACCAGAATCTCTGAACTAAAGCTTTCTTCCTGTTATATAAAATTATTTAATAACTGCACTTATAGCCACACAGGTTGCCTAATTTAATTTTATATTACATAAAACTGAATATACTGTTCTGAACTGTAACCAATGTATTTGCCATCAGGATTTTAAGGAACTTTGTTCCTATTTAAAATAAGAAACCATAATAGCTAAAAGAGTAATCTAGTATTGTTGTTAAATTAGTCAATATCAATTACTATGCAAAGCCTTGTATGCAATTCAGAGGAGAAAAAACAGCATTTTACTTTCAGAACACACTTTCTGGAGTAGAGATAAAGCTTCATTGATAATGTATGGGTGCAAGGCCTGTAGGTAAATCTTTGGTCAGAGATCAAAGCAAACCAGTTCCACCAATATTTAATTGGGGTTGGCAGTGGTGGGCAATCAGTTCCAGCATATTCCATTCCCAAATTCCAAGAATTTTAACTGACACAAATGTTTATGATTACAATTCTGAAATTGTTCTTCATATAAGGAATATTTGTTTGTTACAAATATCATACAGACCTCATTGATTGAGTGTCCTGCAAAACATTTTTAATTGCAAATGCTTAAAATTCAGACTCTCTATAATCTGTCCTTTTTTCTCTATGGTAGCTGGATAGAAGAGCAGTTCAGGTAAACTTAAAAAAAAGGAAAATGCACTCCAAAACATTCCTTTAATGATCACTTCTGACAGCTTTTAGTTCATTCAACCAGCAGATTTCCTCTCCTTGGCAGAGAACGTATTTTACCCCAAGAATCTCTTGCCTGCTACAAAAACAGTGTTTGTTTATTCAGGGCACTCAGTGAAAAGTGTACTTTGCAGAAACCCCAAAGTAAAATTAGCTTGCATTCAGCCTTTTAATTAAATCTTATATATTAGACATTTTAAAAATGAGCCTTCCCCAATTTAAAGCTGCAGGATGACGTTAACTAAACATTACAAAATCCACCCAGCAACCTTGGACTGTACAAATGCTGTGCTCTGAAAGGAAAGAGTTAATTAAGTTAGCAATTTAAGATTATGAGGAAGGAAAGCATAGCAGTCTTTTTCAAGTCGGTTTAAACTCTGTACAATAATTCACTTTCAAATGCTTGTAACTATCAGTTTGCAGCTTTTGGGCCGAATTTTGTAAGCAGGGTGAACAACTTCTAAAGTTCAATGTTTTCTCTCACACTTTCTCTTTTGAAAGACTTTCAAGAGAGGCTGTAGCATCCCTCAGGCTTCTTGCCCTGGCATTCAGAAGCAGTCTGTCTGGGAAGGATAAACCCTTCACCATTCCTCTACCATCAGTCCAAATTTAACCAGGCAGACCTCAAGAAAGTTCAACTTGTACAAAACCTGAAACACAGTTTTCACATCTATTTCCAAAATCTATTGCAAGCACTATCACTGAAGCAGCTGAATATTCCTCACATGAATAATTAATAACCTGTTTTCAGCTTTTCTCTTTCTGGATATCACTGCTCAAAGACAGCTATAAGAAAAATATCTCACAAGGTAGTACTGCTTAGTTAAATAAAAATCTTACTTCTCAAGATATGGCTCAGTTGTTTCATTGTGCAATCTCAAATGGATCAAAACTCCAGAACAAGACTCCCTTAGGGATCAGGGTTTTATTCTAAGGTGAAATATAACATCAGACACACAACTCCCATTTCTCCTGGCTGCTTTAGTTGCCTGGGTGATGCAACACTGACGATATATCCCACACTGTGTATTAAGGGCTTGGTAGTGAACAATTGGTGTTGCACAGCTTTTCACACTCACATGTAAGTAGGTGAGTCCACACTGATGATGTACTGCTCTCACCTGCATTTCTAGAATTCTGGAATCACAATCATTGCTGCAAGGACCTGAGAAACATTTTTATTTCCCACCTCTCCCCCCCCAGTTAAATGTGGAAGTACATCATTATCTTGTCCACAGAGGGTGAGCTGTGGAAATAAGACAACAGTCTGTACTTCTGTGGCTCTGCTCCTATTGCAAAACCTGCACCAAGAAAGGATTTAAGATTTCTCTTATAATGCCAAGATGGCCATGAAAAAAAATCTATACCCACATCTGATATTTGGCTGCATAAGGGTGAAACATTCATCCTTGAAATTGCAGCTGAAATTCCTTTATATGCTCACTTTCCTATGACATTCCAAAGAGAGGTCTCCATGACCAGTGCCAGTGTTTCTCTACAAGGGATTTGCAATGCCAAAGTTAATTGTGTGGCAAGCCTGATGCTCTAAACTCTTCCAAAGAGCATTCTGAGTGAGCTGGGCAGCTGCTGGCTCTCCCCACCAGGAGTGAAGAACCCCCCACTCCTCCTTTCATCAGGAGAGGGAATGGTCCTGCTGAGGAATCCCCTTCCCTGTACATGCCACCATCACCATTTCCATCTGCAGACTTCTAGGTAGGCTTTCCCACATGTTTTAAACCAGGAGCAGCACTACTCCCTTACAGAATCTTATAGCAGAAGTATTCCTTTTAGGAATTGTAACCTGTAACTGATAAGCTTAAAACAGTAAGTTAAAAAAAGCAATTTAAGTTACTTCTGTTCCAAATTATATTAGTAAAAAATGCCTTGGGAAAGAAACTGAAGAAATAACAGATCTACTCAGGTCTTAGAAGAGATTAAAGCTTTCATCAAATGAGAAAACTTGGACTCGACTATCAATCCTCCAAAGTGGATCTAGATTTATCATGACTGTATGTTCAAGGCAATTTTTTCCTTTTTTTCACTTTTTTTAAACCATAAAAAATTAATTTTAGAAGGAGTGCACTGGTGGGAATTTGCTATTCCTTTGGAGAATTAAAAAAGAACTAAGGACATTCCTTATGTCACTAGTAAGAACTGGTATCACATAAACCCAGGGCACAACAAATGCTTTAACTACAGCAGGTCACAGTAAAGAGCATTTCTTTCTAAATAGAAAAGAATTATATATTTCATGAAACTTAAAAACTGTTTCCCAATATTTGGCTTGGGATTTTTATAACCAGCAAGAAAACAATTTGATGCTGGCTTCATGTTTCAAAAATCATGGCATACAGGTAAAAAGCATCAGCATAAAAAGCATTTCAGAACTATGTATCAAGTCTCTATACTGTCCATGTAAACAAGGGGGGAAAGCTCCATGGTTTATCACATTACATAATGCTTGGTTTCCTTTTTGTGCCTTTCAATTCAGGCCCTGAATGACAAACACTACAGAGCATTAAAATCTGGTCCCCACAGTGAAGTATTTTTTCTATTTCTGTAGCAGCATGCAAAATTCAACCAATTAATCCTGGAAAAGTTAACAGCCTATCAGAGTAAAGGAAGTATCAAAATTCAGGAACAGAGATTACAGTTTAATAGGCCTTAATGACCACAAGAGCTCATCTTGAATTTAGGTGTAAGAGTAACTTATTATCTGCAAAAATACAAAGAATTGGATAGAGTTCCTTAATTTTGTGTGATTATCAGCATCTCATTAAACAAAAGCTACTTTAAAAACACCATACTTATCATTTTAATGTCTGTTTAGTTTAAATAACACTAAATTAGCTTGACAACAAAACCAACACATATTAAATGCATTCATCTAGTTTTCAGATACAAAGGAACATAATTTACTAATAATTACTCCATTACGTTGTTATAACTGATTCAGCCTTGTTTCTCTTGTCACATTGGTGTATATTAAATGCAGCAATATCTCCAGATTTTACCAGATCTCCAGATTTACTCTAAGATCTA